AAGTCTGTACTTACGTCATCTAGCTGAACCAAATCACTCAAGGGTGGTCGGGAGGCATTTTCCCTTCGATTTTTTCTGCAAAGAAAGTTAAATAAAGTTCAGTGTACATGTATGACAGCATCAATTTCACATATCTCTGTATATCAAATGTCTGAAGCTTTGTTTCACATCTTAACCCACAATTAGGCCATTTAGGAGTTCAAATACCTCTCACTTTTAAAACGAGGCTAAGTGTGAAACCTTTCTTGAGAAAATGATTTTTATTTACACTAAAATTAAAAATCATTATCCATGGCTATGCAATTAGCCTCGCTTTGAAACATAGGCTTTAGGCAATTCAGCTAGTATTTTTTTTGGGGGGGGGGGAGGGAGGGGGAGGTCATCCAATACATTTAAGGCTGCACGGGTGTGGAGGGAAGCAGGCAAAAAAGCAAAGCGAACTTCTAAAGAAGAGAGGGCCAGATTTCGAGTTAGCACACGCGCTCCACATGAAGGTCCGCAGATGCTGCAGGGGAGGGGGTGAGGGAAATGTATCAAACAGTGATATTCTTTGTAATTTTTTACCTGAAATTAGAGACAATGTAAAGAACAATCCCGGCTGCTACTAAACCAGCAATCACAGCAACTACAATCGAAGCTATTTGTGCAGAAGTGAATCCTTCCTGTTTGCTTGCCTGGAATGGGTTATCTAGAAAAGGAAGGGAAAAAAATTATGATTCAGAGGCCCTTAAGAACTCGATTTGACACGTGCTAGGCATTCTGGATCAAGTAAAAGTGTGGAAACTAAGAACCAGGGCCACTTTAGTGAGAGGCCAGTGCTCTCACCACTGCACCATTCCTGCTCCTCAGCCCGGTCTTAAAGCCCCTATATCCACCGACAAATTCTCCAGACTGATATATCAATACATCTCCAAAAAGAACAAGACGCTGTGAGAGCGTATATTTGGGCGTCGATAAACTAAGCGTGTGTGAAGTTTTTTTCCATTTGTCAATAATGTAGTAGCGTTGTTTATTTTACGGGTCGGTTGAGATGCTTATCACAACCACCACTTTACTTCAACACACTGTAACTATCCCTTCATACCCAAATTAGACTGATTTAGCAACAGGACGGGAACGTCAGTTGACGACGAGAGAGCGCGCGGAAAGGACTAAACACGACTTCCGATGCCCAATTTGCCGCTCTGCCATTGGCCAAGCCAGTTGTTAGTTTGCGCGCGCCGTCGTCAACTGACGTTCTCGTTCTGTTGCTAAATCAGCCTATTAGCACATCCACGACTTCCTCACTGCAACACCTAAAATCACTTTTACCTCCCAAAATAATTATTTTTTGTTACTTCATATTAAATTCTACGAGAAACAAGTTTCACTGATTGACAAACTACAGCCATTATCTTACCAATTCACATCCAATATGACTCGACGCCTTCCACTTCACGCATCTCAACCAAACCCTAAAATATACAACGCTACTGCACTACTCACACATCCCTAATACACATGAAAAAAAATTCACACACGCCTAGTACATCGACGCCCAAAAATACGCTCCCATATAACTTCATCCAGGGAATATATTACATCTCTTATGACTCAAGGCTTGGTTACCAATGGTGGTATCGACCGTTAATAATGGCAGCGACCGTTTTCTAAAGGAAAATAGTCGGCGGCGCCTTCATAAGTTGAAACGTGACACACAGTCATAATTTCAACTTGGAAATACAAATGCCATTGACATGTACTATTTTAGGCGAGATTGGACGACTGATACTGAAATGCTCACATTACATTTTATTTTACTTTGATGCGGTTTGCGAAAACAGAAACAAATGACAAGGAAAAAAATGAGGCCTGCAGTCTAAATCCACTTACCTTGCAATGGCTTGATGACGTAGCGATTTCCTATAACACTGCACTTGCCTTCTTCGTTACATGATCGTATATAAACACGGTAACTGTCTGCAGAATTGAGTTTCTGCAGTACAGTTCTGTTTGATGTATGGCTTATATTATATGTACGCTTCCTGTTGGAAAAAAAAGTGTAGAGGACATATTGTCCTGGAGTGCCTTTCCAAGAAGATTGTTTTGCCGGCTGCAAGAGAGGTTAACAGAGAGGAAAATTACTAAGACTTTACTTTTTAAAAACTTAACTAAGGGGGGGCGTCTCGAGTTACAGACAAAAGCAAAGTTGTGATTGTGACGGTAAGTTATTTGACTGAAATGATACATGTACCATGTTTACGGTTGTCTTTCGCCATGAACGAAGACAAGTAAAAGGACTGCCACTTGAAATAAGCTAGGGTAACTTAATCGTGATAAGAAAGAAAGGACTGACCCTTAGAACTCAAGGAGAGTATATATAATATCTGGCTAGATTTGCAATAAGGTACCTCCAGGATTTTTTAGCAACAATCTCATTATAGGCTTGTTCAGTACTTGACCATTTTTTTTACGATGTTTTCAGTACAAAAGCGCCTTAACATGCGGCAATAGACCCGTGTGGCACGAAATTTTTGCGGGAGTTTATATTTGAGGATTGGCGATTTTTTGTGTTTTGCAGGAACTAATTTTTTCGATTATTCTTGCTGGGAATTAATTTTTCCGATTTTCATAAAGTACCCAGTACCCGGCATTGATAATATTTTCGTTTTTATTGAGTACTAGCCTGCGATCAGCAGACACATTTCCGGTCGTCGAAATGCGTCTGCTGTTCGCAGGCTAATTGAGTACGTGCAATAGAAATACATATTTTCAAACAATACTAGGGTGTGCGTCAGTATTTCACTGTATAAATAATAATAACAATAATAATAATAATAATAATAATAATAATAATAATAATAATAATAATAATAATAATAATAGAGAGAGAGAGAGAGTTTGTCACATGGTCCAATTGATTATATTCCGCCAAATGTTTATGACCTCATAGACGAAGAATCGATCTACAACTCGGTAAGTAAAACCAAGGGCTCAGCCGGACCATCTGGAATGGACGCAGAGCTGTGTAAGAGAATCCTGTGCTCTAAGAATTTCAAGACCGAGGGCAAAATATTGAGAGAAGAGCTAGCCGTGTTCACAAGAAATCTGCTAAGGAAATCGTACCACC